CGAAATAAATCCTAAATCCCAAAGCCTAAATCCCAAATCCTACATCCTCAAGGCCCCGATCGTAAATCCTAAAACACAAAAAAAGACCAAAATTGCAACAAAACCCTATCAAGGTTTAAACATACCTAGGTAGAGAAGGTTCAATGTTTGGGGTTTAGGAGGTAGTTCTCAAAACATGGGGGGCGGAGGAGTGAGGGAGGGAGGGGGGGCGCGTGATTGCCCGGACGAGGGGGTGCTTGGAGGTTCATGGGCACCTAAACGGGGTTTTAAGTCTTATTCCCATACTTACAACCCTAAAACCCAAAACCCTAAACCCTACTCCTAACTACTAAACCCTAAACCCTACTCCTAACTACCCGTGAACCTCCTTTGAAGGGTACCGAAGGCATTCCCGGGCCTGAGGCCCGACGACCTTCAGCCCACCCATGAGCTTCTTGATCAGTCCCTGCCAGGCTTGTGGCAGAAGTCTTGGGGTTAGGGTTTAGGGTTTAGGGTTTAGGGTTTAGGGTTTCAGGTTTCAGGGTTTAGTTCCATGGTCGCCTGGTATGGGCCCTTTAAAGGGGACCCCCTTACATACCCCTGGTAGACCCCCCCAGGACCCATGCTTCGGAAGCTTTAAAGAAGGTAACTACCCTTAGGAGGACCCCTCGAAGGCACTTCGAAATTCCCCAAGCCCAAGGTGGGCATCACGGGCCCTTCTCTCCTAGTAAATCCCTTGATGGGTTTAGGGTCTAGGGTTCAGGGTTTAGGGTTTAGGGTTTCGGGTTTAGGGTTTAGGGTTTAGGGATGGCAGGCTTTAAGAACCAGGGGCCTGTACATCTACGGGCTGAGGGGAACGGCACATCGGCCAGAGTCGTATTGGTATACGGCCTAGGGCCATCTAGAAGTTGCCCATCGCAATCAGGATGCGGCCACCTGACACCCCAAACTCAACCAACATATCCGAGGCTCGGACTGGAAGGAGCGCGCCTCTTCCCCCAGAAAAAATCTAGGCCCCCTGCGCTCCTAACTCATGATGAGGAAGCTTATCGGGGGAAAGGTGGAGGTACCCGGCAACCAATGTGGGTGCCTCCCCTTCGACTGGAAGCTGCCGTTCCTCATCCGGTTTTGCGGTCTCCTTGAGACAGCGCCGGCTTGGCGCCAGGTTATAGGACTTAGGGTTTCCCCAAGCACCATGAAAAAAGTACAGTGTTGTGGTGTTGTGGAGGTGGCTAAGCGCAACAAGAAGCGACACAAAAGGGTCTTGAGATACTGGCTGGACTGAGGCTTTCCCGAAGGGATGCCAGGCTTCACGGAACTTCCGGCCCCTTGGGACTGTGAGATAGATGCGCTCACACATCCTAGACAAACTCTGTTTTTCGAAGCCCCTGACCCCGTGTCTCTTGCAGTGTGTCTGGCACCCGAATCGCATGATCCTCCGAAACCCAATAAGGGAAAATATAGCACATAAGGGTACTCTCAATATACCCCTTAAACACCATGTAGTCCTCATTCAAGGAACCCCCCCCCCCCCAATAAAAAAAAAAACTGGGGGGTTCCAAAACAAAAATATCAAGTGTCCCCCAAGACCCTCCTAGGTTCCAGGACCGACTTCGCGGCCAAATAAAACCCCTAAACCCCAAACCCTAAACCCCAACCCCTAAACCCTAAACCCCAAACCCCAAACCCCAAACCCTAAACCCTAAACCCTTGCTTACCTAAGCTTCCAGGACCGACTTCGCGGCCGAGCGGCCTGGGCCTCTGGCTCTTCGGGTGCAGCCTTCGGTTCCCAGCGCCGGTCCGAGCGGCCTGGGCCTCTGGCTCTTCGGGTGCAGCCTTCGGTTCCCAGCGCCGGTCCTGTGAATTTGGGGGGGGGGGGGGGGGGGGGGTTTAGGGTTTAGGGTCTATAGGGTTTCTAGGGTTTATAGGGTTTCTAGGGTTTTATAGGGTTTTATAGGGTTTATAGGGTTTATAGGGTTTATAGGGTTTATAGGGTTTATAGGGTTTATAGGGTTTATAGGGTTTTATAGGGTTTTATAGGGTTTATAGGGTTTATAGGGTTTATAGGGTTTATATAGGGTTTATATAGGGTTTATATAGGGTTTATAGGGTTTATAGGGTTTATAGGGTTTAGGGTTTAGGGTTTAAACCCTAATTTTTTTTTTGCCACCCGCTTAGCTGACCTCTCAATTTAGGGTTTAGGGTTTAGGGTTTAGGGTTTCTTCGGGAAACAGGGGGAGGGGCCCCCAACATCGACTCCCAGAATCATGGGATTCCCGTACTCTAAGGACCCCAAGGAGGGTGGGTTGTTGGGGGCGGGCTTCCGGAAACAGGGGGCCTAGCACGTGGACTCCCAAATAATCGCATTCCCTTGTTTTCAGAGGGTACCCCCTAATTTCGGAACCCCCATTTAGGTGTTCGGCACGGATCTGAACATTCAGACTTGAGGTCCAGGAATTCGTGGCACGGCGCAGCGGGGTAGTGGCAAATGCTTTGCATGAGGGGCTCGTGGTCGGAGGCGCTCCATCTCGGGGGGGATCTCTGATAACTCCAAAATAAACACAGTAAGGGACGTCAACCCAAAGGTCGGCCAAAACCACATTTTTTGGCTGAACCCCCTTGAGGCCCAGTGCAGCAAAGAGTACAGGACTAGCAAAGGATCACCGCCGCCAAGGGTCCCATTTCCCGTTCTCTTCGTGCTCAGCCTGCTCGAAGAGCTCCTGATGCCAGGCCCCAGACGCCCGGAGAGTAGGGTTTAGGGTTTAGGGCTTAGGGCTTAGGATTTAGGGTTTCGGGCTTCGGGCTCCAGGGGCTGCGGCCTTGGGTCGGACTATTTTGCTTAATGTAGGTACCCCAGGCTGGGAACTCTGGGCCCAACACTTCGCAAGCAGGGAAACTCGCCGGACTCAGATGTCCCATATCTCACGTAGAAGCCAGGAGATGAGAGGCCACCGATGTTTGGCTGTGGACGAACTCAGCTCTTAACAAACGAAAGAGGTTGAGGCGAATGGCCTGTGTCGACAAGCTCCGGACTATCTTCCCACGCCTGCAGCCCTGCAATCAGCCCATGTTTACCTTTTGACGGCCCTGTCGGGGCCGCCTAAACTCCACACTCCATATACAAGCAAACCCGAAAACCGACGCCTGTCCTTGACTGTATCGATGAATTGGCCTGGCGCGTCGGGGAATCTCTCCAGACTGGGCCGCCACTTCACCGCTGAGCCATATCCTTCGTGACCAGGAAGAAGGATATCGGGAGCTGTGAGTCGCGTGAAGAGTTTGAGGTGTAACTAGTTTGGTCGGGATGGGCAAGATGCTTTCTCAAATGCTAGATGCCCGCCACTCACCACGCTGAAGCTCCGGCTACTTGCACACTTGCCATGCTATGTGCAGATGTTGCGCACGACTAATTTCCACAGCCAAGGATGCAGGTACGGACCGGATCTAAGTACTGCTTCCTAGTAACGTTTGCACGAAACCTGTTGGTTGCCGCACTCTAATAAATCACCGCTTCAGAAGCAAAATCTACTCCTCCCCCAAAGGTTTCCTCAATCCTGAAACATTCGAAGAAAACCGTCGGCATCAGGCCTGCAACTGAAGCCCCCCAACCCTACTTAGAGGTTCATGGGCAGTTACAAGTAGGGATAGAAGTATGGTAACTATACGTACTACCCCACTTAGAAAACTTATAACCCTATTTATACCTACCCATGAACCTCCCAGTAAACCCTGAAGACGGAGTGGCCACTTGCTGCAGCCGCCTGGGCCGAGCGGGCCCTATGAAAGGCTTGGCGCTTTAGAGACGCAGAGGTTTCGGGCTTAGGGCCTTGGGCTTCTTTGCGCCCCAAATAGGTTTTAGTTGGGATGTTCCTCCTTAGACTAAGAGTCCTTCATAGGGATAAACTCCACCCCCTATTTTGATCCCTATTAAGGGGAACCCCAAGATTTTAGGAGCTCAAGGGGCGTCAAGGGTCGAGCTTCGCAGCGTGCAGGCCTACCGTCATCCCCAGCTCCCCCGAGGGGCCGTGCTCCCCCCTTGAATTCCCTGAAAGGGACCCGAAGCAATCAAGACTTCGGAACGCCAGCTCTGGGTTTCGGGTTTCGGGTTTGGGGTTGGGGGTTTAGGGTTTAGGGTTTAGGGTTTCTGCAGCACCATCTCCAAAGAGCGAATATCGGGCGCCAAGGGTTTAGGGTTTAGGGTTTAGGGTTTAGGGTTTAGGGCTTGGTTGGCCGAGAGAAACTGACACGAAATGCAGCGAGGCCCGCACGTATTTTAGCCATCTGGACAGCAAATTGCATCGTCTTGCCCGTTCCAAAGCATATTCCTTCGCCTAACTCTCTCTCTAAACAACATAGCCGTACACTGCCGCCCTACCATGCACAGCCTCCCTCAAGTCCTGACTCTCTCCTGCTATTGTTATCAAAGCCTATGTACACATCAACTGCTATGCCCCCTCACATCCGCGGCGGTTGCCCGGCACCTGCGGTGATGCGATTCACTTTGCCGGAGCTTTTTGGAAACAGGACTTCTTAACTACCAACGAAAGCAAGCCCTTAAGCCCTTAAACCCAGAACCCTTCTTGCATCTGGTCCACATCGACCCCGTTTACCCCTAATCCCGAAACAATCTCACAGAACAAGATTCATGAATCTTGTTCTATGAGATTGTTTCATTAAGGAGGCAGCTTAAAGGGGCTTCGTTAGGAGAGCAGCTTTAGGTTTAGGATCTCTAACTTAAGAACCCACAAACCCTTTTCACAAGCCTATTGTTGTAGGCTATTACGAATAGAGCCCATGAATTGATTCTTCAACAACAAACAAATATGGGGGAGGTTTCCCAAATCAGGGTGTACCTTCCTGGGCCTTCATTATCAGGAAATCCTACTATTCGGGGGTCTATACTAAGCGTCCCCTATTTTCGTATAAACCCCCCAAAAACTGGTTAAGCTTTGGGCCTTGGGTTTTCTGTCATACAACTGTGCAAATTTTAGAAGCTGGGGCGAGCCCTGTGTAGCGCGACCTCAGCGCCAGCGAACCGACTCACGGCGCCGCTCCAGGCTACGACTCCGGGACGACTTCTCACGAAAGTGGCCTCGGGGCATCAGAAGACCCATAAATCTGCAGGAGATCCCTACATAAGATCCTATGACCCCGGGAAACCTTTGAACATCCCCGGTCTAAACCCTTGAACATCCCCGGTCTAAACCCCGGGGGCCCAAGTCAGAGCCTCACAGTCGTTCGATGGGGTTGGGGGTTCGGGCGGTTCGGGACGTCGGACTCTTCGCAGCAGCCCCTCCAACCGCGCACCCCCACCCGCTCGATGTAGCCCATGTTTTTGAAATTACACAGATGGGCTGTTTGTGTTTGCCACCCGCTGGCGAAAGCTCAGCGAGGCCCACTGCAAAAGAGATTGGAGTTTTGTGGGTTTAAGGGAATGAACAAAAATCACATACATATATATATATATATATATATCAGATCATATCATATCATATCATATGTGTATATATGTATGTACAGATACATATACATATACATATATATATATATATATATATATATATATATATATCTATGTGTGTGTATGTATGTATGTATGTATGTATGTATGTATGTATGTATGTATGTATGTATGTATGTATGTATGTATGTATGTATGTATGTATGTATGTATGTATGTATGTATGTATGTATGTATGTATGTATGTATGTAAATACGGCAAACGTATGATGCATACTTATATATGATACATTCTACATATATATATATATATATATATACAGACATCCTTGGACTCCTCTAAGCCGCAGGAAGAAAACATCGGGAAACGAGAGGAGAAAAAAAATCGCCCTGGAAAATGGCTGTGGGCCGCAGCCCTCAACCCGCTCGCAAAACCCGAAGCCCCAAACTGACAGAAACCTGCACCTTGGGGATTTGTGGGTCTCGTCGGGCTGGGAGGCGTCGAGGATAGTAGGGCTCATGGTCTGCAGGGGGGGGGGGGGGGGGTGAGGTTAGTTCTAGGGTTTGGGGGTAGCTGCGGTTGCGGGACCGGGACCATCAAAAGTTCCTCTTACTCCGCCACACCCATTCCTCTTGCGACCTTGCCACATGGCTTGGGCGGCGACAGGCGCTTCCTTGCGCAGGGGCACAACTCGTTTTTTGCAAGAGCTCAAAAAGCCATGTCCTTGATTCTGATGGAGCCGAAGGAACCACTTGCAGCAGGGCTGGATGGAGGCTTCGACATGCAGCTGGGGCTGAAGGTTTGGAGTTAGCGTTGACGAAGTGGCTGCCTTTGAGGAACTCGGGGTTTTTAGCGATCGCGTCGAACCTGCACGTGGGTTTAGTCCGGCAGCCCAAAACCCCCAAAGCCGAAGATCACAGGGGCCGCAGACAAACTTACCAAGCACCGAGCACAGCACGAGACCAACCCTAAACCCTAAACCCCAAACCTCAGACCCTTTAAACCAACCAACCCTAAACCCTAAACCCCAAACCTCAGACCCTTTAAAACCAGCCAGCAAAACCCATGCTGTGCTAAGGCCGGTGTTCTGGCCCCAAACCCTGACAAACAAACAACACCACCGGCAAACGGGTAGAACCAAAACCATGTCTGTACCCTAGACCCTGCGGTTGCAGGACTCCACACAGCCGCCCTGTTGCGGCTCAACTCCCCAAACCGTAAACCCTAAACCCTAACCCCTAAACCCTAAACACGAGGAAAGCAAAGCCCAGGACCTCTCCCGCAGGCGAGCCAGCGCCAGCTTCTGCTTCTCAGCCTTCGAGAGGCCCACTTGAGGAGGGTTTCGGGTTTAGGGTTTAGGGTTCTTTTGGGCAAGGATGGAGGGCTTGGGTCCCTCCTCAGCCCGAATCCCTCCAAGGAAAAGCCCTCGGGCCTTGGAGACTGGCTTGTTGCTCTCGCCACCTCTGCTTCGGAGGGACAGTAGAGGGACAGTAGTCATTTAGGGTTTGGGGCGCCCTAAGTTCCCCTAAGAAAAGCCTTTAGGGAACGGTTTGAAGCATGCGGAGCTAGAACCTGGTGCTGCTGAAGATGCTATGGCTGTGAAGCCTCAACCCGGGATCCTACAGCTTTGAGTTCGGGTTTAAGCTTGGCCCCGGGAAAACCAACAGAAAACATCTCCGCCCAAGCTGCCGTGGTCGGGCTCGGGCTGCGCCTCTGGCACGTCCGGGGCAGCGGCCTTCTGGTCCTGTCCGGGTGCTCAGCGCCGCTGGGGCTTCGGAGATGGGCGGTTGCTGCTCTCGGACTGCACAGGTGGGCTTGAGAGGGTTGGCTCTTGGACTCTGTTATATTTATCATACAAAAAAGCCCAAAAAACCAGGGGCATGCCAGTGAAGTTGCCGAGGGCACCGTTCAGGGCTCAAGTCACGTCCCAGTCCTTCGGTGCTGGCGCTTCTCGCTTTCTGCTGCCTGAGCGCTTCACCTGTTGGCGACCACTTCGGGATCTGACATCTCGCCTTTTGGTGGGAGAGCGCGTCTCGCCGCCTCGTCTGCTTCTTGAACGCTTGTCCCCACGCCGCCGGCTACGCGAGCGCCGGCTACGCGAGCGCCGGCTACGCGAGCGCCGGCTGCGCGAGCGCCGGCTGCGCGAGCGCCGGCTTCGCGAGCGCCGACTGCGCGAACGCCGGCTACGCGAGCCTCTGCTTCGAGAGCGCCGGCTTCTCGAGCCTCTGCTCCGAGAGCGCCTGCTTCGTGACCGCCTGCTTCGCGAGCGTCTGCTGCGTGAGCGCTTGTCTTCCCGCTGTCTGTCTCCACCCTTCCGGCTGCCAGAACGCCTCACACTTCCATTCTGCTTGACAACCGGCTCTGGGACATTGGCGTCTGCTCGCCGTCGACCATACTCGTCCTCGGCACTGGCTTCACTGTCAAAGCCACTACACTCAGTTGGGCATGTCTTCCCAAAGCTCCCCCATGATCTAAGTCAGTCCGAGGAGGCGCAAAAAATTTTGGAACAAGACAACTGCCACAAGCTTTAAACCCAAAACGCATTTATAATATAACATTACAAGTAAACCCTAACTGCTAAACCCTTTTTGAAGCTGGACTCAAACGCTCTTTTCCTAAATGCTAAACCCAAAACCCTACGTCCCTAAACCCCCACCCCCATACACCCCCAAACCCTTGGCGTCGGAGCTTCCAGGCCGCCCTTGACATCTCCAGCCTCCGCCTTGCCTGCACACGCAGCAAGGTTTGGTGAGTTTGAAACAGTTTGGGTATAGGGTTTAGAGGGTTGGGGTGTAGGGTGTAGTGTGTAGGGCCCTGCGCCCCGACCCCAAACTCCAAAGCCCTCAGCCCTTGCCGAGCTAAGCATTTTATACACCTTGACCCGGATGGCAAAGAAGTGCAAGTTTCGCACAGACCGGTGTCTTTTGCGCAGCTTCGGAGGGGGGTGCGCATCAGAGTCTCCACGGGTTTACTGTTCAGGGCGGCTTTGAAATCTGCTTCTGCCGGTGGTTCACACCCTGCATTGCAACGACTTGTTCGAGAACGCTTCCGAAGTTCCTGCTTAGGAATTTGGGTTTGGGGATACACCACTAAGCCTGCGTACTAAGCCTGCGTGAGGATTCCGCGCTGGACCTGCAACGTAAAACGCCACAAACATGAGAAAAAGAACGAACCTCGACCCGCCGAATCACCGCGCTCGAAGTAGCCTCCACCCTTGCCTGAGATTCTGAGTTGGGAATGGGGACTTTGCGGTTGTGGCCTTGGCTCGTTCGAAGAACCTTTGCCTACGTCCTGGACGACAGCCGGTCAGCCCAAGCCCTGTAGACCCCACTAAGCTCCTGCTAGCAGCGGGGTTCGGGCCTCCTTGATGAGAGGTATGAAACCCCAAAAACCCTGAAGGGGTTCTGGGCTTGGGGGGGGGGTTAGGGCTTCGAAGGCTTTGAGCCTCTACCCCCTGAACTGCTTGCGCGGTCACCCAGACCCATGTTGGCGCGGGCCACCATGCGCATCTGCCGGTCCTCCTTCCTCGGAAGTAGAAGCAACATCTGATTTGGGGAGGGTGGGGGGGGGTGTTTAGAGCTGAGAGGACAAGCCAGGCGAGGCACGAACAGATCCAGTCTCCAAGACGATACTAAATTCTGTCACTGGACTACCAGCTACCTCAGCACATGTTGACTGACCGCTTTACCCAGCAATGTACATTACTCTGCATAGCAGGGGGCTTCGCAAGGAAGAACTGTTGAGCGGTTTCAGGGTTTGGGTTATGTAGTTCTACCTGGTGGCACCCGAAGCTTCAAGCCTTCTGTCGACTGCTTTGCGGGTTGAGTTTTGGGTGCTACATGCTAAATGCCGAGGGCTTCAGCACGCCAGGAGGATCTTAAGGGCTGCTCTTAGTGCTTTATGAGCCATCAAACTCAGGAGATTCACAGCGCAGGCCTCTCTGAAAGCTTGGGGGTGTTCGAGGGTGCGGCGCACGAAGCCAGGTGTACAGTAGGGTTCCGCCTCTCTTTCTTTCTCAGTCACGTCTGGAGGTCGGCTTGAGCGGCGTGAGACTTCATGAAAGTCGGGAGGTTCTGTTTTCCTGTCCTCCGGAGCCTCGCCCTCCTTTCCCTTCGAATCAGATGGTGACAACCATATCCCCTGGCTCTCCTCTCTCTCTTCTTCTTCTGCGGGGCTTCAAGGGCGTCCTGTCTCCCTCTCTTTCTCTCTTTCTCTCTCTCTCACTCTCTATCTCTTCTTCTTCTTCTTCTGCTTCTTCTTCTTCTTCTTCTTCTTCTTCTTCTTCTTCTTCTTCTTCTTCTTCTTCTTCTTCTGCTTCTTCTTCTTCTTCTTCTTCTTCTTCTTCTTCTTCTTCTTCTTCCTTCTTCGGGGCTTGAAGGGCCCAAAGGACCCTCCGCGCGCACAGGCGCGCCCAGGCGACTCGGTTCCGTCCGGTTTGTGAGATTCGGACTCACGCACTATATCTCTCTCTCTCTCTGTGCTTCTCTCTCTGTGCCCTTTTGCATCCAGGCCTCTCTCCCCCTCTCTCCCTTTCTTTCTTGGGGGTAGGGGAGGACCCCCACGCTGGCGCGCGCCCCGGTTATCGCGTCTCATCAAGCTCTCTCTCTCTCTCTCCCTGTCTCTCTCTGCCCTAAAACCCTTAACTTCGCGTCAACATACGTGCCTGGCCCTTTAAGCCCTCAGAACAACACTCCGAACTTCTGATCCGTTGAATTCAATAAACCCGTGGCCCTGCTTTTGAGTCCGGGCAGCCGGAGCAGGGAGCAGCTCGTGCAGTGACTCCGCGACATCAAGTTTTGCGTTCCTGGTGTGGGGCTAAAAGGTGCCCACACGGGTGTTTAAGGGCTTTAAGGGCTTTTTTAGGTTGGGGGGGGGGAGGGGGGAAAGCCAAGGCCACAGACTAGCCGCTAAAATCAGGCCAAGCAGCCGCAGTCGCAGGTCCATTTGGGTACCGACTCGGACTCGATTCGCTCCGTCCGCCCAGTCTGGACCACTTGGGAGCGCGGCGGACGGTCGAAGGACATGGCGCTTCTGCGGTTGGCGACCCTTGGGCTCTTCAAAGAAACATCTAGGGCGTCTGATGCCCAACACAGGGCCTCCCTACTCATGACCCGCTTCCATCCTCACTGATACAGCTGCCAGGGTGGCATGGTTCTATGAAATGCGTATGAGGGCGGAGGTGCCATGTGCTGACTGCCTCGGCTTTTGGGACCTGCGGCGTTCTGCTCAGGTGATGTTACGGGCACCTGTTGGTTCGCCACAACTGTAAAACGTATCCTAGAATCGAGACCCGGGAAGAAGGTGTTGACATGATTTAGGCCGGCCCCCATGTATGCTGACCGAGCCAACAGTCGCCAGGTGACCTGACATGAAGCTTATTGGTCATGACATGCCTCTGGTTTTGTTGGCTTCGCCCTGCCATGCCAACCGAGTCATTGAACACTCAAACTGCAACACGGGCGGCGGTGCCTTCCAGGAGTGTTCCTTAGCTGACAGTACACACAACGGTTGGATGAGGGAGAAGAGAACCAAAAGAGGAACACAAAGGGCCAAGAAGGAGTCTAGCAAAGCGATGCATCCACACCTTCGTAAGCTGAGGGACGGCTTGTGAGACGGTGCGACGCTAGGCAACATAAGATGGATTGCTTACTTCTATAAAGGACACCCACAGCCCCCAAAGAAAGGAAAAAAAAATGACTGCCACTCTCGGCTTCCGAGAGGGTCTGGGGTTGGTTTCGCCCCGCACCGCACTCTATCTCCATAACGCTGAATTCAAGATGAAACCCGAAGCGTCCCCCCCGCCATTGTGAAAGCCGTCCCCCAAAAATAGTTACCTCGTTCTTGGTCTTACTGGAGCTTTGTTGGGCGCCTTCCATCTCAGGAGTTGAGGGGAAGGGGGGGGGGGGGGGAATGAGCCCCGAATTCCCCAACAGCCCTCCGTGCCCATTGCAGCCAATCTTCTGCAGGCCAGCCTTCTGCCGGCCACTCCTCATAGGACGCCTCGTAAGACTCCTTGTGTTGCCAGTATCTTTCCGAGGTGTCCTGGCGTGTTGCGGCAACCCCGAAACCCTAAACCCTCTGGGGTGCTTGCGCTGAGGATGTAGGGCTTCTTAGGATTGATTACTACAACATGACCTCTAATCTCCAAGCCGTATGCCTTGCCACAAACACGGCTCCTCCTTCCAGTCGTCCCGCTGCATGTACAAGAACGGCACATGGATTTTCCTTGCAGCCGACTCGCAGCACTCTACCAGCATAATTGACTATGACTAGAGAGCCCTCTAGAGGTAGGAGTCTTCGGACCCCGAGCCATGCTAACACAAAAGTCAGAACTCAAACCAAGCCATTCGCTCCCTCGAAGATTACTCTGCAAACATGTCATCTGCACATAAAATGCCCTCAAGCTCAGGCCCAAAGCCGAAGACCCTTTGAGGGCCAACCACCTTAAGAAGCTCAATGCCTACTTCTTGCTAGGATACCCATGCTACCCTTACTAAGGGTCCTAGGCCTACAATGGCCTACAACAAAGAAGGTTTGGGGCCCTTAAGATAAACCCTTTGACCCCCCAATGCAGGCGGGGAGCCGCTTCCAGGCGCAATGACGGCTAGTGCAGTTTCTCTCATCCCCGCGGCCACAGACGCTGAACCTCGCCGAGGGCGCTGGAGGTGCACCCTTTGAACCGTCAACCCTATGTTCACCCCGCGAGGCCAGGACAGCAGCTAAACCGAAAACAGTTCTCAGGCTTCTAGAGCAGGCCTCGAGATCTAAATCTCTCTCAGAGTCTAGATGCCACTCGATTTACAGGTTTGGTTTTTGGCGGATCAGAGTCCCTAAACCCTTCTTTTCTACTGGGTTTGGGGGCTAGCCAGTCCCTCACCCCATACCCAAAATACCGGAGCTCCGATGGCTGCCGCAAGATGATTCTTGTTGCAACCCGCCCCGCTCCTTGGGGTGCTTGAGGGCTTAGGGGACCCTCAACTTAGCGATAGGACATGGAAATGCCTGTGCAACCCCTCTAAGTGAGCTACCAAGGGGCAACCCGAAGAACAAGTGGAAGTTGCGTGACCCTGTGACAGCAAAACCGAAGATCGACGGCCAAGTCGCTCATTGGCCAGGTGGCCCAGAAGTTCTGAAGCATGGGACACCTGGTTCCTGGGTGGCAGGCTGATCTCTCGCAAAGCCAAAGCTCACAAACCTCGCGGCTTGGGCGAGTTTGAACCGAAAAGCACAAGTAAGGTTGTAAGTTTACAACGGCCCATTTGGAGGGGGGGTGGTTGGGAATAGCAGCGCAAGAGTCTGTTCCAGCCGCAGCCACAAAGGGCCCATTGAACGGTGCCGGTTCCTGGGCTACGCGTTGAGAGTAGAAATGCCGTTGTGCAGCTAGGTGCAAACAAACAATTTGCTCTGAGTGCACAAACGCTACTGGGATAATTGACCTTTGCCCCAGCATCTGGCGTTAACTGTAAAGCGGGCAAGCATTCTTGGTCAGAGTTCGGGGGAGTTGGGCGGGAGTAATGGTCCGAGAGCAAGACATTCTTGGTAGCCGAGCAACTGCTCTGCAGCCTGCACGATGACCCTGACACCCTTTGCCTCAGACGTGGCCACATACACTGCCAACAAAGGTTTGGCTTCGGGCTTGGAGTTTTAAAGGGTTTCTGCCTGCAGTTTAGGGCTTGGTGCTTTGGGCTTCACGGGCTTTGGGCCCAGGGTCTGGGGGTGGATTCCGAGACTTGGGTGGGCATGCTCCAGGGCATTTGGCACATAAGGTCAGGGCACTTACATGGCGGCGTGCGCAGGCTTACGCGGTTTCGGGTTGTGTTTTTCCCAACCTGTCCAAACTCTAATCTTAGGAACCCAAACTAACGTAGGATGGGAGCCAAACTCGACAGCACACAGAAGCTCAGTTCAGGGTTTGGGTTTAGGAAGAAGGGGGTACAGGGTTTGGGAGTTTAGGTTTACAAGTTTCAGCTGAGGTTTTCAGGTTCGGGGCGCAGGGAAGGTGGCTTTGAGGTGCAGTGCGCAGGTTGTTTTGGGGGGTTCAGGTTACAGGTTAAAAAAAATCCCCTCGCGCAAACGCTGACAACTCCGACCATGGCTATCGCTTTGGAGACATGATGCCTGACCAGCCTGGAGGCTTCGATTGGCCAAGTTATGTTTTAGGGTATTTTGGGTTTAGGGTTTAGGGTTTAGGGTTGTTGGGATTTCACGGGGTAGGCTTACACACAGCTTACTCGGAGCTTCTGCCAAACCCCGCTGGGGGGGGGGGGGGGTTGTTGGTCCTGAAAACCCTTACTTTCAACCCTCCCCTTCGAAGGGGCTCAATGGGAACAGAGCCTCAAATCAAAAGCCTCCAAGGGTCATTTCTATCAGAGCCTCCCGTCTGTGAAGCAGCGGCGCTAACGGAACAGAGCCTCAAGAACCTCCCGGGCCTCATTTCTCTCAGAGCCTCCAAGGACCAGGCCCGCATTCTCTGTTCCAGTCCCCCTATACAGCCTGAAGCCCAGTGCTGAAATACGAATCGCAACCAGAGCTTACACGAGCTTACGCCAACGCCTTGGAGTGCGTAAATGCTGAGGCGATCTGACGCTCTTCGAGGGTTAGCTTGCGCGGACTGTCTTACTGCAAGCCCCTTGCGGGTTTGCCTTTAAGGGGTTTGATCTCTGCTCAAATGGAGAGAGGGGCATGGTTTACTCGGTACTGTCCATAGAAACCTTAGCCGAGAAGAAGCACCCATGGAACACCACACCCGTCCACCGTCTCATTACAGCAGAGCGCGCCAAGACCTACACAAGCACAGAAGAACAGCGCTCCCAAAAAACAAACCATGAACATGCCAGGGTGCAGTGAGGCGGTTATGGGAGAGGTGGATCTCTTCCATGTACCTCCGGTCGACAGTTTAGGGTTTGGGGCATCGTGCCATCACACCCATGGGATGATCTGGCATTGATTTCGAGAACTTCAGTTCTTGAGCAGCGCATTTCGAAGGCGTGCGCATTTCAGGTCACTATTTGTGAGACATGCTTAGAAATAGTATCCAGCTGCAACAGACAGATGGTGTGGCGAAGTCACATGGCTAATCTCCATACCGCAGCCCGCAAGGGCTCCGTTTTGCTTGCACTTGGGCCTTTGAGTCCCACAAAAGGGACGAGCTAGCAGCCAGAAGGCTGCCTTTTTCGGAGGCGAAACGCTTGCATTCTAGTTTGGCATGGTTAGGTCTGGGGGGCTTGAGAGGGTGCTCGGAGAGACATGCTGCCGAAACATTCGAGGGAAAACATGCAGCAAGCACATGCGTGCTCGCTCGCCTACACATTCGCGCACCCTTGCACTTGACAGAAACAGGCGGGAACCCAGTCTCGACATTGCTGTCGATGCCTGCTACACACTACTCAGTCACTACTCCCAATTTCTTTCATTCTCTCTGGTACGGTGTGCAGGTGAGCTTGGGCCTTCGGCCCAGAGACCACTGGGTTTGGCAGGGTGAGGGTTTCAGGGGTAACTGCATTTATGGCCATCACTTGCCCGAGTTAAACAAACAAGACTAACTCCACCCCGCCCCAGCAAGTACAAGAGTTCCGTTCATGGCTTTAGGGGTCCAGAGCGCAGGTATAGTGTCAGCTGAAGCACATGCATCGTTCCAAAAGTTTTGCCAGTTGATATGCGCCCGCGTCGTCAATCTCGTTCTTGTACGCCTGCGATTGGGCTTCTTGTGCTCTAAACCCTGTTGTGGCTTCTGGTTGTTTATCACCACTGACCCTCGTGCTAGGAGGTCTGAGTGAAATCTAGGAAACAGTTGGGGGAAGGGTCTTCGAGCCCGCCGCTGGCAAAGAACGGCGCCAGGTGCAGACGGCCCTTATCAACAAGGCTTCTGATGCCTGACCCTGCTCAGCTAAGGCCCTCTGCCTGACAGACTCTGGACTCTGAGTCCTTCCGCCAGAAATCCCAGACATCCTCCCGAAACATCTCAACACGCTCACTCCCTCGCGTAGCCTTGAAAATCCGGAGGTTCGGGCAGCGACAGCAGAACTTCACCTGAGCCAATCTCCCATGCAACGGCTGCACGTGTTCGCACGAGAAGCCTGGTGGGTCTGCCGCAATTGAACCATGAAGCGGCTCTACTCTAGCGGTTGTGAGCCCTCATCGGATCGTTTAGGCATTCCACCTGGGTTTGCTCGCCGCCGAAACAAGATGTGAAGTGGGGAGAGGGGAACTGCACACCAAGCTTCAACTATGAGCTGAGGGCTGGCCAAACTTGTCCTTACCACCTAAAACCCTTAAACTTCCGGTACTTCAGAGAGTTTGGGACGTGGGCGCGGGGTTTGCACTGGCCGCAACTCGGACAAGCTGCCCGAGCCAAGCATCCCGAAGCCGCTACAAATCCCCCTCACCCCATGCCCCACCCCCCTGTGCCCTAAACCCGAAACCCTAAACCCAAAACCTTGCAGAATCAGACTAGCAGCCACTGTCTTCAGCCCTCGGGAAGTGAGCTGGTTCTGGGAGACATCCACCTGACGCTTCTTGCCGAGCGGGGTGGTCAAGTGCTTGCATGGGAAAAGATGGCAGCGAAGAAGAAAACGGGATGGAGGTGTTCTAGGGTTCTAGAGCTTCGAGAGTGCTTGCATTTGGGGTATTTTGTGAGCTTTTGCGGGCTTTCGCTGCGGGGCTAATGTCTGGGTTGTTGCTTGCTAGCTCAAGCGGTAATCAGCTCTTCAAAGCCTCAAAGGCGTGGCAGGTGCAATGCAGGTAAGGATAGCAGGAAGTATAGTTCGGGGCTGGAAGGAAGAACGGACTTGGGCAGGCCGCCGACCCAATCAAATGTGTTCAAGCGTGTTCAGCCAGGCTGCCTCTTCGTAGTCGGTGCTCTCCTGACATTGCTTGGGCGCGATGAGTCCCCCAAACCTACTCGCCACCCGGCCGTGGCTTTCAGGGAACATGTTCTGGCCCTCGCTTCCCTTAGTCATGCTCCCGCGCTTGCCATTCCCGCACCCCAAGGCTCCGGCTGGACCCCGCTTAAACTGGCTTGGGCGGATTCGGGCTTGGAGGTTTGTTTGGGGTTTGGGGTTTGGGGTTCAGGGTTTAGGGCCTCCAGGGCTTCTGATGCGTTTGGGGGAGGGTTTGGGGGGAGACTTCTGGGTCTTCTGCCCCAGCTGCCTGCCAGAGGCCCAGATGTGGGAGGTCGTCATCACTCAGCTTGCTTCTTGCATGGCACAGCGTGTTGAATTTGGCTCGGCCGCCCTTTCCCATGGCTCAAAAGCCGTCCCGGCCGAACCGAACCATGCTTGCACTACCGTACTTTGAGCCAGCCGGAAAGCGTTGTTTCTTCGCATCCCAGCTCTCGAATGCCAACCCAATTCACGGCATCGGCTTCGGAGGGGTTTGGGGTTTGGGGTTTGGGGTTGGGGTTTGGGGTTTGGGGTTTGGGGTTTGGGGTTTGGGGTTTGGGGTTTGGGGTTTGGGGTTTGGGGGTCGTGGGTTGTGGGTTTGGGCTCTTATTCAGGCCTTTGGGGGGGGGGAGCAAGGCAGGCCGAGTGCCTGTAAGGGGCTCTGAGCAGATGGGTACCTTCAGCCCTCCACCCCGGTGTTGTAACAAGAGCAAGGTGCCCTACTCCTAGTCGTGCTGTGCCACTGCCTGGGCTTAGAATTTAGAGTTTAGGGTTTGGGGTTTTAAGGGTTAAGGGTTAAGGGTTTAGGGTTTGGGGTTTAGGGTTCAGGGCTTAGGGTCAACGTCTTAGAGTGCCGCTCCAGAAAAGTTCTTCAAGCGACTCAGTGCCGTGGCAGCCCTCCTGGCGTGATCCACGATGCACTCCACCAGGCTGGTGTTCATCCCACCTCAAGAAGAAGAAGGCCTCGGGCCTTCGAACCATAGCAAATTTTATATGTTAAAAATGGCGTTTCAAGTACTCTTGGGCTCGAGCTAAACAGACACGGCGATTCCTAAAGAGAATCTAGGTCCAGGGTATGGGCTCGGAGGGGTGTTTCGGGCTTGGGGCGTTCAAGGAAGGGGATTAAGGCGATTAAGGTCTATTTCGGATCACGAACGAAGGCCAGGCGTCAGGTTCGGGATAGGGCCCTAGTTGCACTGTAGGTCGGACCCCCTGTTAGAGTCTCCTTAAGCCCCAACTTCAAGAATTTCTCCAGGCCGCCAGATTTCCCTGTAACACCACTATGACTGCATGTGGGGGGGGGGGGGGGGGGGGGGGGGGGGGGGGGGGGGGGGATTAGCGGATTAGCGTTGCTCTTTGAACTTCGGGCTCGGGGAAGTGTGCCTGGCGGGGCAAAAAACAACAAGTTTGGGTCCGGACAACGGCTCCAAAAACCCAAAGCTGGAGCATTTTGGAAATCGCTAGCGGCCACGCAACAGCTGCAACTGCAAACGATTTTCCGGTTCGAGCACAAACAGTGCGGGGGGGAACGCTGAACACTGCAACATCTGCAAGATGAGTCAACTCCCCACTTCCCTGCGCTCCCGCGACGCTTGGCTTGGAAACGCGTTCTCGCTTCACATGCTGGGGCTTTCCGGAAATTAGGGTGCCGGGTGGGGACCTTCTTGAGGCAGACTTGACTTCTATGGGGGTACAGAATATAGAGGGTCCCTATTTTCAGTAACTCCCTCCCTCCGGTGGCTTTTTGCTTGAACCGCGACAAAAGAGGTGCGGAAAGTCACGGCTGGCTGGCTTCGGCTCGCGTCACCGGCGCTGTGCTTGCTGGGGCAGTGCTTGAAGCAGCTGGCCTAGCAGCCTGGGTGTGGTCTTCCCAATGTGGGCCACTTTCTTCAAGCTCTGAGACGTGTGTCTGCAACGGCTCGAAGAAAGCATTTGGGAACCAGCCTTCATCACCCAGGAGGTCTCTCGCCCAGCTCCAGCCATCTTGCCCGCGGCGTACGCAAATCACATACTCGCCCCTTTGCAACGTCAAGTACGGTTGGCTGCCCCAAGCTTCACCAGTGGATTCACCAGCAAACCCTCGTCCGTTGAAGTCGCAGCTCGCTCTTCCCACCGTGCTGGAAAGTCCAGACGCTGGCTTAGCCTTCTCATGCGTGTCCACGACCTCTTGCTCGCGATAATCTCGACCGGCCAAGCGCTTGCGACAGGCTTTTGCCTCTTCCACATCCTTGCGCGATATCTCTGCCGGGAGTGATGCACAAATACCCGGGATGGTGTGCCTGCTCTTCGAGCGGATCCAATCTTGCTGGTCCGGCCCTGGGTGTATCTCAAACCTCGGGTGGCCATTGTAGTCGATGCTAGCGCTGGTGACCGCATAAATCTCCTTTTCGGCGACGTTCATCCGCAGGAGCTTTAAGTCCAAGATGTCCTGCAAGCGGGCAAACCCCCCGCGTGTGAAGTATAGGCCATCTCGTCGCCCAGTGTGTCGGAGAACTGAGTTGAGCGCCTTGGAGAGCTTGTCGTCGCGGCTCTGGGCTGCATAGGGATCTGCGTTTGCCATGGCTGCGTCGTCATAAAGCCCGGTACGCTGTGAGCCTTGAGCCGTGATCCGAGGTCACCAGCCGAATCGCCTAAAGTTGCGCGCACGCCCCATGCACGCCTGCGGGCCTCAAAAGTGGCTAAAGATGTGCTGAAGCCTGAACCTTCACAGCCAGTACAGTGACAAATTATCTATAGGTCACTATAGGTGTACCTACTGGGCTACAAAGTCTCTCGCTTTGGTCTGTAAGACTAGGTAAAGCATTGGCACCCAACCCCCCCCCACCCCCCTCACATCTGAAAAGTGTCGGGGCTCGACATCTTCCCCGAATACTCGAACAGGATGTCTAAAACCCGACCCCCACACCCCTCTTGCGCTTCAGTCTCTATAGTCTCGGGGACGTGGTGGCAAGGGTTTGAGGGCTTCATGTGGACGAGATTGTGTGAGCTGTTGCCGACGAAGTGGCCGTCGTGCCAGGATCGCCAAGCCTGAAAGCTTCCCACCGGATTGGTAGGGGATAGGATTAGGGGGCCCCTTGGGGATATAGACCCTCTGAATAAGGTCCCTGACTAAGAGAGCCAGAAGAGGGTTAAGAAGGGGTTCCCGTTTTAAGGGTCCCCCTCATCCTACCTAGGAATTGGGACAGATCGTGCCAAAATGTACATGGGTGCACCAGGGGCTTCCTTCATCCCCTTGGGCTCTGGTAGTTGGCAATCGGGCTTGGGATTCTCCGGGTTGACAAGGTGCACCTAAACCCTAAGCCCTAAACCCTAAACCCTAAACCCTAAACCCCAAACCCCAAACCCCAAACCCCAAACCCCAAACCCCAAACCCCAAATCCAAGAGAGGTACGCACCAAAGCTGCTCGGCGACTACAGAACCCCTCAGGCCAGCCAGTTTCAGACGCCGGAGGAAAGGTAAACATGAAGACGTGGGTGGGGGTTTTGGGGTGGGGTGGGGGGACGTGGGTGGGGGTTTTGGGGTGGGGGGGGGGGGGGGGGGGGGGGGCGGTTCTGCAAAGTAGAGCCGCCTAGTTGGCAACTTCCAGAATCCTCTCCCGACAAAGACAGCCCCGAAATCGGGACCCCAATTCGGAGCAAGCCGGATGCGTGGGCCTTCCCCCAACCCCTACTGGCATCAACGCCTTCTCCGCCGCACGAAAGGATCCGGCACCTGCTTGCATCCAGGAGTTTGTGAAGGAGTCAAGTTATAAGTAGGGTTGTGGATGCCTTCTTGCGGCTTAGAAAGCGCCGTCACCCTGCTCACCATACTTACACGTGGGCATTAGCCTCTCACGCCTTAGCCTTCCTAAGCCCCTGTTGCAGTAGGCTTCTGAAGATTCTCGCCTAGTCGGCTGGGCCGTACGGTTGACTGAACTCTGCCGCGACAAGTCGGTCACACCTGTTCACCTGACAGTGCAACCCATCGCGCAGCTACCGACTTCGAGACCTGGTTGTAAAGGCATACGAACTTGAACTGACGAAAGATGAAGCTCGAAACCCTCAACCCTAGACCCTGTCTTTTAACCCCCTTAACTACTCTTTGCTTAGGAACCCCAATAACATATAGATAATGATCCCTATATTGCCCTTATAAGGAACAATACTTCTCTTTTTTGGGGGGGTTCTTGAGCAAATAAGAATAATAATACGAAAAAAATAATAATAATACGAATAAGAGCTATACTAATTCTAATAATAAGACTAAAAATAATAATGGTAAACTCTCAACCCTACCCCGACCGCTGTGCCTGGCCTGGGCTCGTATCTTTCTTTGACGCCGAGACCGTGGGCGTCAGGAGCACGTCCTTCCGAGGGCATCGCAGGAGCGACATCGATGAAAGTAAGCATTTCAGGATACTTCAGGAAACCCTAAACGCTAAACCCTAAACCCTAAACCCTAAACCCCAAACCCTAAACCCTAAACCCTAAACCCTATCTACAATTGGCATTGTGCAAGAGAGCCCCAGTCCGAGTGGCCCAAAGCCGCGAACAAGAATGGCCTGCCCGATCATATCAAATGCAGCTCGCATGTTGGCCAAACCTTTCACTCCCCAAGTACTATATATATATATATACATGAAAAAAATAATAACAATACTAAGAATAAGAAAAGAATAAGCATACATATAGATATATGTGGCAAGGACCTTTCCGTGCTATGTGTAGCGGCACGTCTTTCATGTATACAAAAGCCGGAAGCAGCCAGTGAATTTAGGAATTGCAAGCTTCAGGCTGGGAGGTGATACGAGCTTTCAGTCATAGCCCAAACCGCAACCGAAAGCAAAATCAATAATACCAATAACTTAAACCACAAACCTTGTGGCATAGACCTTGACATATCCTTTGCTATGCACATATAAACATATATATATATATATAGATGTATGTATGTATGTATGCATGCATGTATGTATGTATGTATGTATGTATGTTGGTTGCATTATCTAGTATCGATTACATAAAAATATACACTATGTATCTCATAATCTATTTTATGTATTAGCGAGAATATGTCATACTTTCTATATTATAACAAATCACCCAAATCTTGTATACTTTTGTTTGTATATACGTATATGCATATATATATATACATCTACATATTACTTCTGAGGACAGTGCAGGTGAAGCGCGTGCAGATCTCCGGAGATGACCGGCAGCGCCTGCAAGGCTCTAGCTCAGGAACAGGCATGTGCAGATGTCTGCAGCAGCACACTACAGAGACAAGCGATGCTGGGTTTAAGGCTTTCATGGTTTAGTGAGGGTTTGGGTGGTGGGCTGGCCACCAAGCACCTCTGCAAGGAAGAGCTCCCAGTAAACCCTGAACTGCAACAGCTGGCGCCTGCTTCATGGCCTCCTGGAAGGGGCCGAACGGAGGAGAGGGCAGGGGAGCCTGTTAATGGGACATCTCAGGCCCCCTGATGTCATCCTTTGACCATTCGGATGAAACTCACTTCTTTCAGCTGCCATGGCCAGTCTGAACCCTTTTTAGCCGCTCAATTGAACGGGATTGATCTATGTGCGGTTTATGTGGGGTTTATGTCGGGTTTGTACCCGAAGCCTTAATGAAACACTTTGTTCATGCGGCATCTTCTGTCCAAGGTGCCCATTGCTGCTGAAAGTGCATGCCGCGGCTGTCATCATCGCAGAGGGCCGAGACCTAGCTATCTGTCTATGCATCATCTAGCCTTCAGAGTTCGGATCGGGTTTTTTGGGGTGTTTATGATACAATTATATAGGGACCATCAGGGAATACTACTGGGAACTAGCCTCAATAATTAGAATAGGGTTTCGGGGATGTTTATGATATAAGTACATAGGGACCAGAAGGGAACAGATGCGTGTCCTAGGCCATCGGTTCCGCTCCCCCACCTAATCGCAAAGCACCCATGAAACACCCAAGAGCCAGAACAAACCACTGGTCCAGTTTCCTATGGAGAGCTGGGACCGGAAGGGCATGATCATGCCCCAAATAAGCTAAAAACTCATCTGACTCGACTACGAAAAATTATGCTCTTCTTTGCATCCTCGAACTTGGCAAAACACACTTCCGAGGGTGAACTTGGCGCGCGGCCTCCCCCACGAAGCCCCGCAGAAGCCCTCAAGCTCCCAAGAGGCCTTCGAAACCCACGATGCGACAAGAAGCCGCGGCAGCAAGCGCTGGCGCCGGGCGGCAGCTACCGGGCGAATTCAGAATTCAGGGTGGACCCTGTGGCGACCCGAGTCCCTATCCTCATGGCCCCTGATTCTCAGAACCCTCCACGAATGAACCCCAGAAGGGCATGTCGGGCTCCCCGCCACCTTGCGGAGTGCCTTTCTCAAGGCAGAGTTGCGGGTTTAGGGTTTAGGGTTTAGGGTTTAGGGTTGTGGTGGGTTTTTGGGGCCAAGGCTTTTGGGGGTTTGGGGGCTTAAGATTGAGGACTGAGGCTGCATGCACCCACGTACCTGCGGGACATGTTACCCCAAACCCTCGAAGCCCTAAGCCCGTTTGTGAATACTGGGCTCCAAACAATCTGACCAGCCCACTGAACCCCCCTACACCCCAAAACCCTACTACACCCGGAACCATAAACCCTGGCTTCCAGGAGCTACACCGACCGAGGTTAGGGTTTAGGTGTTCTGGAGGTGCAGATTTGGGGGGGGGGGGGGCACAGAGCTGGTTTAACCTGAGGGTTTGTCGAAATCTGAGACCTGCTTTGCATGAGGACCTGGCCCAGAGCATGCCTGCCGCACAAAGGTGCCACTCTGTCCTTGCTTGCCCTCATTCCGCTACCTGCCTTGGGCCTTGGATTGAACAAACTGACAATCCATGACTTTGCCTTGGACCCTGAAGCTTTTTCGCGGCTCTCTATGTCACAGGTACGGCACAGAACCCCTTCTGCATTTGGCATTTGGCATAAACCCAACCCCAGGCCCCAAATCCGGCCTCCTTCGGACCCGGATCCAGCAAGGAGGCGACGGAGGAGGCCTCGAAGCACTCTTCTTATGGCTGTCCCTACTTAGAGGTCCATGATTAGCTAGAAGTAGGGTTATAAGTGCCCCAAATGGGGTGATAAGTATAGATACCATACTTATAACCCTACTTAGAAGTAATTACCCATGAACCTCCAAGTACCTGTACACCTCGAAGAACCCACACGACACCCCTCAAAAGCTGCTCGCAATATCCCGCTGTTTAAGCTCCTCAGAGCCCACTCCCGCAGCCCCGGTAGCCGAAGCGGAACAGTCCTGACTTAAGCCCTGGATTGTAAACTTTGAGCAGAAAAACGATGGCCTGAAAGAACTCCGCGGGTTCCGCAAGAGTTTTGGGGCCTGGTTTGATTTTAGTCTTGGGGGCGCGAACAGAACCGAGAATCGTGCAGGACGTGGCCTGCTACTACACTACGATACCAGGCAAGGAGCGGATGCACTTTTTGTTTTCTGAGCAGCTGGGCTGCCCTGCTGGCTTGTTTCTCAGCAAATAACGAAACAGGCAAGCCAAGAGGTCTGCACAACGTGCGGCAAGGTATTCGGCGGCTCTGTTAGCGGCAATCGCCTGGACCCTTGGGCTCGAAAGACTGTGCGGTTGAAATTCAATGCCTCGGATGCTAAGATGTGTGATACACCCTGCTGAAGGCAGAGAGGAAGACAGCATGTTCTTTTTATTTTTACAACGACGTGAGAGGAGCCCCAAGCACAGAGTGTGGGAAACTTTCGTACCTGAGCTCAGAATTCAGCGTTCGAGGCCCAGGCTGTGGGACTTAAAACAGGCCGCGCCAACTGCAGCTTCAGCAAGTGCCGCTGCCAAGCGCTAGCTGCTAGCCGTGTGGCCAAGGCATTTGCCCAAGTACCAGAAGCGCGAAGACCCACCCGAAACAGGAAAACCCTGAACCCTTTTTGGGGTCTGGGTTCAAGGGTGCATGGCGCAGCCCTTTGCAGCAACAACTCTTCCAACTCCACGGGTGGATCCACACATGGTCTCCTCGAGACGGCCAGGCTTCTCAGACCTGCCTAAAGCACCCGAAGCCGCGAATGAACCCATCGTCTTCAGCCCCATGGGCTTCTTGGGTCAAGATGCCACAAGATAAAAAAAGCCAGACAAGGGCGGAATGGTAATAACCCTGGTTTAGACGAGGAGACCGCAGAAAGCAAGGCGACATCACTCAGACATTCTTCAGCCTACTACCCAGAAGAGTGCTGACGGTCGCATTCTTGAAATGCAGCGGCCCCCAGCCTCGAATACGCAATAAGGACAAGCCTTTTTACCGGGCCGAAAGCTTCATTCCCCGAAACAGCAGCAGTAACACAACGCTAAACTCGTTTGAATTTACGAGGTTGTGCTAAAGGCCTCACAAGAACAAGAAGAAGAACAACACTGTCTCTGACTACAGCCACGGCGACAACTAGTGCTGTCGCTACCACTGCCACTATGACTACGAGTCCTCAAGCCAAAACCCTTCTGCAACTGCGTTGGCGACTTCGGGGCCTGCTACTAGGTCTGAGAAGCAGCCGGTTCTGCAACGCTCCCCTGCTCTGGCATCACTTGGCTTGCTTCTGTTTTGGGCTCGCCTGGGCAAGGGGCCTAACTTTGGGAATCTCACCAACACAACTTCAGGATTCAGGGTGTACCGTGTACCGTGCTTCGAATGTTAGGTGAAACCCTTCACAGATTTCGAGGCTCTTGACGTTGGACCAAACGAACCAGCGCTCTTAAGCAACGACCGACTCCTACTGAGACTGTTGAGGGCGGCACCAAACAAACAGGAGACATGTCGGAAATGGGATGAGGCATGACAAGCCATGCTACGGCCATCCCTGGCACCCTGTGAAATCTCTTCTGCTTGTCAGCCCCTTGAAGCCCTTCAGCACCCCAAACAGGTGGCACCTGAGATGTTCTCCGGCAGGCCGAAAACCTGCAGCCAGTATCGGGCTCGGGCTTAGGGCCTGAGGTCTCAGCCCTCACTCGTCAAAGTTTACGACTTCAAAGTTCAGGGCTCAAAGCTCCAAATTTCAGGGTGCGAGGGTTGGGTTTGCGACATCTGGCATTCACATGCTGTCCCGACGACTGGCATCTACAGTTGCATTGCCGGTGAGGCCTTTTAATGTCACCTATAACCCCACCTATAACCCATGGCGGCACTGAGGAATAAGCTGCCACGAAGGGCCCCCTCACAAGAGTTGCCCCTGAAAGATACAGCATTCCAAGGACTACAACACTGCCTAGGACAGAGAGACTTGGCAAGTAACTGACATGGAACCGGTAGCAACAGCTCATGGGCGCGGCCTTGCCAGCAAACTTCGCGAGAGGCACAAGCACGCCTTCGGCCCGGCAAATGGGGCACGGCACCTCGAGACTACGGCAGGATTGCGCCACGCTTATCTTGGAACCCTCGCTCCATCACGTAATTACGTGCTCCCCCTCAAAGAAAAGCCCAAAATGCCAGCAAGCCCCTAAGCACCAAAGCCACTATTCTCAGGCCCCTATGAGGGCAGTGGTAGCGGTACTTAGTGGTGGTTGTGGAGTAGTAGAAGAAGGAGTCGTAGTAGTAGTCGTAGTGTCGTAGTGATAGTCGTAGTCGAAGTACGCATTGTCATCACCATAGTCGTAGTAGTCGTAGTACTAGTCGTCAAAAATCCGGTGGATGAGATCAAAACAAGAAAAGCCTGAGCAGACCGACCTGAGCTTGGCCCAAGAAGCGTTTACAGGACTCGCAAGGCACCAAAGACCATCTTTTTTTAGGGGCTGAGAGATGGAATGGGCCCACGAACGCGTGGGGATCTTAGGGTCCTTGGGTTTGGGATTTCGCGGCCGGGCTTTCGGTTCGGAAGACCATGTCGCTCAAACATCTCAAAGCCCTCCAACCCAAAAACCCCCGGAATCTTTCCTGCAGGCAGAGCAGCGACAGTACGCTCAAGCTCTTTGCTGCTCAAGTCCTGCTCTGGCTTCTGGGAGCAGGCACCGGGCTTCTTCACATGAGGCTGCCCTTCTTAGGTCCCCGAGGTAGTACAGCACTGAAGGGGACCCCCCAAACAGGACCCTAAACCCTAAACCCTAAACCCTAAACCCTAGAATTCAGAGAACTACCCAGATGAGAGTAGCTCGAGGACCCGTCGCGCAGATGTCTGGGGACCCTCAAGGGAAAGGGTCGAACCTCACCACTTGCCACGATGGGCATGCTGACAACAAGCAATCAGCTCACAAAGCGGCTTATTCGGAAAGTGCCCCAACCTGGGTTTCTGCTAGGGAACCTATCTTAGGTACTACACAGTATATGTACGTAAATGTTATCTGTCCGCGTTATGGATGCGTAGTTTTGGCTCCTGAGCTGCGACCCAGCAATGCAACATTGTACCTCTGCCTGTGCCTCCGGATCGGTGAGCCCACATGTTCTTGCCTTGTAGGGTGGTTCGGATTCTGCCTCGTACCCCTAAACCCTTTTGACCCCGCGAGCTCTGCCGGGTTTCACAGCTGTCCAAGCAGCCCTTACCCCTAAACCTAAACCCTAAACCTCTTCAACATGCTGGGCCTTGAACCAGATGTCCCGGATCCGAAGCCCCTTCTATAAGGGCGGCACTGAGACCGCAGCAGAAGCCCGGAAGCCTGTGCGGGCCCTCCACCATAAGCCCCCAACCCTCAAGCCACGAACCCCTTTTGCCTCAGGCTACCGCAAACCCCCGGACTTCTGCAGCAATACCTAAACCCCTACATTCCTCAAGCCAACCCTCAACTACCGCAGCCCTCCGCACCTTTCGCTTCTTCACGCTCTTTCCGCATTCCCTCGCCTCCTTGGATCAGGGCTCCATAGGTCTGCCTAGGGTTTCGAAGCTCGGGCTTAGGATTCTCTCGGATTTGAGGGCGAGGCTTTGGAGAGGGTGGTTTTGGGTTTAGGGTTTAGGGTTTAGGGTTTAGGGTTTAGGGTTTAGTGCTTTAGGGGCGTCTGTCCTTTCACAAAGGAAGCTGCAACTGGGAGTCCTAGGGTGGCGTAGAAGACAGGGACTGCACAGACACGCTTGCCCCAATCTTGCCGAAAGCGTTTCAAGGAGTCAGGTTCTTCCCTTGACGCCTGCTCATACCGCACTTGTCTTTATGTGGCTTCCAGGTTTTCGAGGGGTTTTTCGGCCCCTTGCAGCAAGCTTTGCCCCTGAAGGAGGGGGGCCGCTCCTTAAGGCGCACTCGCCACAAGTAGGGTTGCGGGTTGAGGGTTGAGGGTTGAGGGTTGAGGGTTTAGGGTTTAGAGGGTTTAGGGTTTTTTTTGCCACCCGACTAGCCACAGCAATGCGGGGTACTGGGGTTTAGGGTTTAGGGTTTAGGGTTTAGGGTTTAGGGTTTAGGGTTTAGGGTTTAGGGTTTAGGGTTTAGGGAACCAGGCGTGCGTGATCTTCTTCTCCCCCGCACAAGAGGAAGCGGGGAGACCCAAACCCCATGCCAGCAGGGTCCGAGGGCATCTGCGGCCGAACGCTCGGTGTGAGACGCGGGGTGGGCTGAGACGAGTTTCTGTTTGATGAGATATCTTTGGCACATCCTGCACAGCACCATGCCATCAGACCCTCTCTCTCTGAGCTCCATGTCTCCCGCCCTCTCTCCTGAGGTTGCAAGCGAGCTATCCTCCATTCCTAGCCTGCACGAGCTAGTCATTTCAATTTCTGGGCATGCCAGGGCACCAGTGCTTGATGAACTGCGCGCCTGGTCAGCCATTGGCTTGAAGTTCAGGAGCTTTGGGTCAGAGCGCAAGGTCGCGGGGGTCTGGCACGTAGGTTGTAATAACGAAGCAAAAACGACTATCCATGGACATTCAGAGAAGTAGACTTAGACTTGACAAGAATAGCAAAACAAGCAACATGGCTTTACTCATAATTTCACTCCTACTTCTTTCATGAGAAGCAATCGTTGTCGTGGTGGTGGTGATGGCAGTGGAAGTAGTAGGGTAGTCGTCGTAGTAGTTTATTACCCAAACCCATTTCAAAGCTGGGCTCTCTGGCGTGCCTAAA